TTTTATATGTTTGCACATTTTTTAAAATTTTTTAAAAAAATTATTTTGGCTTTAAATCTGCTTTTTTACTTTTATACGTGTTTGTTAAAATTTAAGTTTAAATTTGTTTAAATTTATATATACATATATATATATTCTTTAAAATTCCGGGAGTCGGTCATTTTCCCTACCGACTCCATAGCCCTGATTATATGACTGTTCAGAAGCTATCCAAAATTGTGCATGTTCCCCAGACTTAAATTCTACGAATGGAGTGAGTTGGAGAAGTCAATTAAAAAGTAGGATACTTCTTAGAAAGCTCTTCTGGAAAGAATGTAACATTCTTACACAAAAAAATTAATTGAATGGACGCTTAAGCATATGGAAACTACTTTTAGCTAAAGAATACCCAGTGAAACAGTGAATATCACATTAATTTCCGGTTTTATTAAATATAAGTTGTTTATTCAAAGTGTTCGAACACTTATGTGATTTCATTTTCAGAACTTTTGGAATATTTTTTTTTTTAAATCAAAAACGTTTTGAATAACTATTTTCAAAAGTAGCAGGTTTTAAAATAGATGATGACTGGTATATGTGGGAGAAAAATAAAGTCGTTTTGTTAATATTTAATAACTAATATTTACAAATAAAACTGAAAACCACAAGTGTCCGAAAACAAATATGAGCCACTATATTAAAAGGATGATTTGACCAAACAATATTATTGCACGTTTTCATGTAAACAAATTATTAGGCTTAACTCCTGTGAATCGTGTTCTAATTTAAATGAACCGAGGTAGTTTCGTGATACAATTACTATTCAGATTCGAAGTTTCGAAACATTTGGAGTAGAACTAAAAAATTATGGTGAAATTCTTTTTGTGATTTTAGTAAAATTAAATCTTGAAGCTGTGATATTTTAATACAATCGTTTTGCTAACGAAGGAGAACTGTAGAACTGCTCAAAATTCTCACATTTTCTTAGAAAAGAAATGGGAGCATGTAAAAAATAAGAAAAACACTTTTTTTCGCAGGATTGATGAGGCTAATAAAATGAAACATTCTCAGTATAGGAAACATGAGAATTCTTAAAGTCTACTATACTAAAGTAATACTATGATTAAAATTACACGCGTATTTTCTTTCACAGATGAACATGAGATCAATAAATGTCCTTTATTCAAATTTGAATTGAAAATTAGTTTTCTAAGTTTGGATGCTGCTTTAATTGTTTAGGGAAAAAAACGTCATGTTTCCAGATTTCTCCACGATTACATGTGATGCACCGTTGACCGTGGTTTTGGAACAGGCATGAAGCCAATTGGTTTTTACCTAAATTTAGAAGAGCTCTAAGCCGTTGGCTTTGTTCATACATAAACGCAAAGCGCCGTAACCCGCTAAATTAAACTCTATGGCAAATTATTGTGTTTTGGTAAAATGCTATGGTAGCTTTCTTAAAAGATGATAGAAACATCGGCGTTTGAATAAGATATTGTGTGCACTCTTTTTCCGCCTCGCAATAATAACTCATGTTATTCATTTTACGCCAGCCAAATACGCAAATTTAAGCATTCAACTTTCATCATTTAAAAACTTTCCTAAAGAGCGTCAGATAGCGATTTAGCTCTCACAATTGTCATATTTAAAAGGCTTAAAAGTCATTAGCTTCTTTACCACTTCTAACAGGGTCTACACCGTTAGAAGCCAATCAGAGAATATAAATTTGCACTACGTAAATGTGTGCAGTTAATGCAGCAAACTGTCGACTGGACGTTAGTTCGTGTTTGCTTTAATGTGATTCCTCAATTCTTATTTCGTTTTAGAGTAAAGTTGAAATTTCAGAATATTTAGGCAAAATCCTTACACTATTTTTCATGATGTAACAGGATCTAGTTACCTAGCAATGAAGTTCGTCTTATACCAGCTGTGACCATAAAGCCTTCATGTAAATGCTCCGTTAGGGTCCATCAAAAATACTGCTATCTCTCCATGCAGATTTAAAAAACTTGTCAACGCTTTTCCTCAAGATGCTTTACTTCAATATGCAAGAAGAGGGACTCTGGAGTCTTCCAATAATTTCTGGCATTAGTTTGAAGAACCTGTTTTTAAGAGCAGACTTACTAGCACGTGTCCATGAAGAAAACAGTAGCTGCTGCTACACTTCTTTGCCTTATGTTTAATTTTGGGAATGGAATCCAGCATTGTGGCCCATCGAAACATTTGTATTATCAAAGTATACATCTGCAGAGTTTCCCAGAATATTTCAATCAAGAGAATAAATATTTGACTTCCTAAGTGTTGTTGGTAGCGCTTTGTAAAGAAGAAAATCTTTTTGATAATTTTGTAAGTAAACATAACAAATACCATTAAAATCAGTAAAAAGATGACAATCAATGAATGTCTTCAATGCATTTGCAACGTGAATTTGGCATATCTGATGCAATTGATAAGTGTCTCTTTAACATCGTCATCAGCCAAACCATTGATTCGACTAGCAACGGTGATATTTGACAAAAGGATACTGAAGTCGAATCTAACAGCCTTTTTCATCACACAAGCATTTCACGATTTTGATTGTACAAGGTTTAACAAGAATCTCTTCCAGTTGAAAGTCAACAGTCTGTAAGTATATATTTCATCAATTGCATAAATACATATATTACAATGTGATTTTCTTTTTCTCTTAAGGATGCGGTGCATTAAAAATAAATGAGATTTTTTTACCCCCTCAATTATTATAACAGTATTGCAATTAATTTTTACTATTTACATTTTTAAATAGTATTCAAAAAATAAAGTTTACATCTCAATTTTTTTATTATTTATTTTAAATTTTCTTCCTAAAATTATTAAATAAAATTTTATATTTAATTAAATATATATTTCATCAATTATAATGTGATTTTCTTTTTCTTTTCAGGATGCAATGCATTAAAAATAAAAGGTATTTTTTACCCCCTCAAATATTATAACAGTACTGCAATTAATTTTAACTATTTTAATTTTTAAATGTTATTCAAAAAATAACGTTTCCATCTCAATGTTTTAGTATTTATTTGAGATTTCCTTCCTAAAATTATTTAACCTAAACCTCTTAAACAACGGTGCAAACAATTTAAAGCGATTATTAAAAATATAAATAAAATATTCAGGAAAAAAAGCCTTAAGTTATATCTAAAAAGAATTGTAAAAAATCGAATAATCTAATTTGACATCGTTATCTGCCGACTGCCAGCAGACGGAAATAAAAAAACACACCTTGCCATATCAAAAGTGCGCCAAACCGGCAATGCTATCACTCCCCAAGAGCGCCAAAACCATAAATCACGTGATATATGTTGGGGGTCGGCTAACAGACGAATTCCTTATGAATATATGATATTCCTTGAATATATGATCTTCATATAACATATTCCTTATGTTATATGAAGTCGCTGATTTATACCAGTCAATAACAACGGTTCTTTTGTCTGACATGATATATCTGCTGATTGATGCCCATGATAATCCTGACCGGATAGTGGATCATTGCTGTTTCTGAGAAGGAAGAAATCGAGAATGCGACTGGACCCAGTACTTATCGTATTTGGATTTGGTGTTGCTATGCGTGATGCAGCCTATTGAGTCAAGTTATATATAGCGCGTTCAGTGTTATTAGAATTATACGATTTCCACGAGCAGTGTAATGTTTTCCAGTCGTTACCTATGATGATACGATTGTTAAGTGATATTGGCGTTTCCAAGCCAGCAGTGACAGCAGGAATGCTACTACTTGGAGGAGACAAATGTATATGTCATAGATGTGTGTGATGAGAGAAATGGCTGAAAGCTGGAAGGAAGTACGTCATCGGATGACAACCATACCCTTACCCTGCGCTTTGCATAATAAGCTGTTTCTCCCTTTTTTGGCGTCAAGGCTGTTCTCCGAACAATATCTGTGTTTCAGAGTAATATGGAGGATAGTGTTTGATAATGAGTACAGTTCCGCATTCTCTGGACTTACCATGAATCATGGTCTGTTGATTCTATAGACTGAAAAATTAGGCACAAAGATGATAGTATCTGGCACAACATTGGGATCTTGTAGGAATATAATATCTGGAGAACTCATTTATGAAGTCCCAAAGTTAATTTATTTTCGCATTCTCTGTGATAAAAAAAGATTTAAAGTTTTGTAAAGTTTACTAGACACATTTCATATGATTTTCAGAACTGAAATCATCTTCATATAATGCCAAAAATAAAAAATAAATAAATAAATAAACAATTTGTCAACTAAGTTTTCTGTAGCCTGAAAATCAGGTATTTTTACAGAGATTTTTTAAATTATACTTACAATCGAATAACCCTTAACCACAACATTAAATTCCTTGATTAGTTTGAAGATGCCAGAGAAAGCACTAAATCCTGGCTCCAAATTTTTTTCTGAGAGTTTCACATGATTTTTACAGTATTTGCATATGCCATATTAGAAGTTAACAATGACAGGTTTAGTGACTGGTAACTGGCTGGTTTTTCTAATAAGGGTGATTTATGATAGCTGGTTAGTACGGTACCTTTGGCGGACTGATTTGTTGGAAATTTGGGATGTCCCGTTTGTTGGCTGTTACGTTATTCGCTTAGCAGCACAATAACGATAATTATTTTACGATATCTATTCTCTTATCAGCACAGTAAGTATTTTTATGTGAGTTAGTAAACAAAAAGGAGCTTTAATTTGCATACATCAGATAAATGGTTGAAGTATTAGCAATTGTAAACATATGAATTCCGAGTTCCTACTAAGAATATCCTCATTGTAACTCTGTTAAGAGATCACGTGCCCGTTTATTTAATAGAAAATCAGAAGTCTGATTAATGAACCTAATATAATTATTTTCTTCACTGAAATATAAAGTCCTACTTTTACGCTTACATAAAAAAAAAAAAAAAAAAAAAAAGGTGCGAAAAAGCTCTAGTTATTTTTAAATGGTATATTAAAAAATGGGAATGGCCACACAATCAGCTTGTCACGGCAAGCTTGGATTATTTTGGTTGCATCCGCTTTGCCGTAAACTGTAATTATGACAATCGAGTTCTATCCTTATTAAAGTTTTGTCTAATTGAAGCTTTTGTCTGACCTTCTGCTTTTCATATACAGTGTTATGATAAGCGTCATGACTGGACTTTAAAGAATCTGTGTTTTTTATAAGGAATTTGTTTGATTTAGGTAAATATTATTTGTTAGTGGTAAAATACTGATGATTTTAAATTTAATTTCAGTAATTAATGTCTTTTATCCTGAACACTATATTGATTTTATGAAAATGTGAAATAAAATTAGGTAGGTGTTTATGTAAAATTTTTGGCATATCTTTCTGCATATTTTTGCTATTAAAATTAAAGAAAAAATCAGTTTTTAAATTTTTGCCTAATGGAAACTCATATTTGGAAAAAAAATAGATGAAGTTTATTACTTTAAATATCACTAAATTTGATGAATCATCATAATATATAATTAAAAAAAAAAAAAAAAAAAAAACTGTGCGTATGTTTAATTTTCTCTCATTTCTTTTTACTACTACTTATTTCTGTTCCTAAAAAATGAGTCTCAGATTTTTTTCCCTTAATAAATACCTTTATTATTTTCTCTGAGATAGAAATGTATGAACATTGTACATGTGAGTATAGTAATTGTGAAGAAAATTTTTAAGTGAACTAGATTAGATGCTCTTTAAATGCCTAGACTTTCAAGAAGCTTTAAGTAAACTTTTTAACAACACGTCTTTGATGCTTAATAAATATTACATATATATTCATATATAAACGCAATGTTTTATTTATACCTTACTAAAAATTTATATAATGTTATTTTACTGATTTATAGAAAACGAATAGTGAAATAATTAAGACCATTGAATACTGGGAATTTGATCTCAGGTGAACAGGCTAATCTTATGTATAATATGAATACAAACCACGGAAGCACTTCCTGCAGAGAACCCGGTAAATATAAACATCGCCAATTTTGGCGATTGGCGATAATAGTTCAAACCTGGTAACCCATCGGATTTATTCTATTCGCTTCCAAAGAATCTCTTCTAATAAAAGAATCTCTTTTGCTTGTTCAAAGCTCGAAGTTTGGAACCATTCCTCTAGCATTTATTTTGTTGAATTATCAATGTCGTTGTTCGCATTTGCAGACTTATATTATTCTTCTCTTATTTATTATTATTGTTTCTGAATTTTTTAACAACGAATAGATAGAAATATTTTCGTAGATAGATAATGGTTCTCCTTTCGGGGTGAATGCTAATTTGTAACATGGCTGTTCACGTTGTGTTCTTAATTATTAACAGCTCTAAGAACCATGAGGTTTCCAACGTCTAAAATAATTTGTTTTCGTAGACCGCAAAAATGTGCATGTACATTTTAAATAATTAAGTAATGCTTTTATTTTTATTATTGGTTATTGTCATCTAAAATTATGAGAATAAATCAATGGTTGATCTTTACATTATGGTAACTTTACGTTTTTTTGGCGAAAATTTGGCGACCAACTCTCCTACAGCAACCCTCTATTTTTTTTCCCCGCCACCATTTTGTCTTCATGAAGTAAAGACATGTTTCTTTTCTTTTTATCTACTGAACACTTCTTCCAACAATCTACTAGCCGAATTACACTTATGCTAGAAATTTTATCTAACAAAACTGCTTAATCATGACAAATATTCATTGCAAAATTGGGAAAAAGTGCACAATACCATACTCCTTACGCGTTTTTCAAAATAACACATACACATAAACCATGTACACGCCGACTTATTTTTACTTAAAAAAACATTCCAGAATTGCACAAAAATGGCATTGCTCACACTCTTCACTATATCCATGTACACTGCTTTTTTCTCATAAATTAGAAAAATTTCACGAAAATACATGACAATTTTCTCAATCTTTAAACCCGGTAAAAAGAACATATATGAAATTACCTGATCGCGAAAAAGTATTTACCCTTTCCAAATATGAACATTTCCACATATAAAATAAATAAAATATCCAAAAACCTCTAAATCATCTATTACATTATACACGTCACCAACGAATTCATACCGCAAGCATTACAAATACTTAGTATCAAAAATTTAAATTATTTCCATGCACGTTTACTTCAACTTAAACGTGTACCAAATTCCTACAAACATAAAATTCACAAAATAACTATCATTTAATTAAAATATCACTAAACCATGTACACGTCCACTTATTTTTACTTAAAAAAACATCCCAGAATTGCACAAAAATGGCATTACGCACACTCTTCACTATATCCATGTACACTGCTTTTTTCTCATAAATTAGAAAAATTTCACGAAAATACATGACAATTTTCTCAATCCTTAAATCCGGTAAAAAGAACATATATGAAATTACCTGATCGCGAAAAAGTATTTACCCTTTCCAAATATGAACATTTCCACATATAAAATAAATAAAATATCCAAAAACTTTTACCTCTAAATCATCTATTACATTATACACATCACCAACGAATTCATACCGCAACCATTACAAATACTTAGTGTCAGATATTTAAATTATTTCCATGCACGTTTTACTTCAACTAAAACGTATACCAAATTCCTACAAACATAAAATTCACAAAATAACTATCATTTAATTAAAATATAATTAAATTAAAAAACACTACTTAAAATATAAATGAGCACATACATTAAATTAATACATACATAAATACCCATTTCGAATTCACTTTAGTTACGGCCATGGGATCCAAAAATTCACGAACACTGTTTCACACAACACAGAATAAAGCCAAATACAAAACTTCCAGATTTTTCCCGATTTCCCCCCTTTTCCGATTAAAGAACCGTAATTCGTCCATTAATATCACATGACATATCCCATGATCTCTCATTTCCCTCACACAAAATAATGCGTAATCGGAACTGAGTACTGCTCACATTATTACCAAAGTCCCAGGTAGTAACCTTTATCGCCTCCAAAATGTCGCCAAACTACCAGTTACCATATTGTAAAGATCAACCAAATCAATTTTTATGGCATAAAATTTTAACAAGATAATATATTGTTAATGCTTTTCTAACAATAACCTTTCAGGGGATGGCAGGTGTGACATAAATAGATGATTAAATTGAAATAAAAAAATATTATTGATTATCTAAGATGACAGAATAGTTTGATGCATCACCATGGTCATCAAAATTAGCAAACCACTGCTGGTGTAAGGAATATATTGTTTTCTGGTTTAACTGGAATTTATGACAAATTTTTTTCGTATATCACCTTTAACCGGTTAATTTCAGTATATTAATACTAATTTATATTTTTCAAATGAATTTTTATTTCCGTTCTAAATGTTTATGTATTGTCTTAATAATATATTTTTTTCTGTGCTAACTTGAATTTAATAAAAATTAATTTTTGTAATCACGTTTAACCGGTTAGTTTTACATCTACATGCTTATTATGTGTGAATTTTTACTACTATATGCTTAATATATTGTTTTGTCTGCTAACTTCAATTTACATGCACTAAAAATCACGTTTACGGCTCGGCTCATCGTCGCTGAACCGCGAGCTTGGCGAATAAAAATGCAACGGCGCCAACGGGTTCTCTGCGGATGAAAACCCCAAACCATTTACTCGTAGAAATTTTCAATGAAAGCATCCCTTTCCTTAGGTAGATAGTCCTCATGTGCTTTGCAATATTCAAATAACGATAATAATCAATATCAAAAGTGTGCGCAGGAATTATTAGAAACCAATTAGAAACATTCTTGTATGAAGTCACTTCATTAATAATTACTAGAAATATACACTAATTATGAAAATTTTCAAGTCATCAATTTAGAAATGTGGTTAATTTTATAAATCTTATTTGTAAGGTCACTACCCTCTTTTTGTATATGTTAGATGTGGAGATTTATCATATTGGATATATAGAATATCATATCTTCAGTACTTTAAGCATTCAGTGTTTCTGTGCTTAAATCCCGAACGTACATAACTACATACATATGTAAGTTAAACACAGTACAAAGTCCATAATCTGGACGTCCATTATCTGGAATGATGTACAGTCAAAAGTCGTTAATTCGGACACCCATAATCCGGAATGATCTATAATCCGGACCTCAAAGCTAAAATCTTTCTGCGCATGCGCCGCATTGCCGCATGCGCACAGGCGTTTTACTCGTGCGCGCAAGACATTTTCGACTGCGCATATGTGTCTGCGCAAGTGCAGAATACGTTTTCGCGTGCGCGTTTAATATATAACGGACGGTATAAGCTAAAATTATCTAATTATCTATTTCAGTTATGTTGATGATTGCGTTGTTCCTTAATCTTCGAATTGGATCCGGCTTATTATTTTTTGCAGACTGTAAGAGCAATTTTCTGAAAGTAAGCTTGAACTTTCGATTATGTCAAATAGAATTTCCGATGCTGGAACTTCCAAAGGATCTACAAAACGAAAGTATGATTCGATGTCCATCAAAACAAAAAAACGAATTGCTACAAAAAATGGATAAAGGCATATTCTTTGTTTATCTAACCGTTCCGAAATCTGTTTATCAATTTCACGCTGCTCTGCGCTGGGGGGGGGGGGGGACGTCGCGGCGTGCAATGAACTGGAAGTTGATTTGTCAACACTATCGTTATCTTCAGGGCAGATGTTTTTATTTTATTCGGCTTATAATTCCTTACTAAATGTAGTATTTAATTTCGATGTACTCCATCTTTGATATGATTTAAATCAAATTCCTCGTCATTATAAATATCACGAATACAAATCAAATAGTTTTCTGGTTGCAATTTTCTAATTTCGGCTATGCGTAAAGTATGCTTTACGCATCCGCGCGTTGAAAGAAATGTTTAATAAAGTAAACAAATAAATATTAAGCTTTTTCTTTTTGCAAATTTTGATACCCTTTAGATCATAATTGCTCATTATTTTATAAATTACGGTTTCATATTTTTAATTTTATAATTTCTGCATGCCATCTTACCAGATTTAAACTGATGATCTATAATCCGGAGAAATCGATAATCCGGAATCGCCGAAGTCCCGACGAGTCCGGATTAAAGACTTTTGACTGTATAATCCAGACCTCAAAGCCACAAACTTACGCATGCGCATTTGAAGCGCGCGTCTGCTACGCATGCACGTAAAGCCAGTAAAGCGTTTACACATGCGCACTTCCGGTAGTGAAGAAAGTGACACAGCAATTACAAGATTTGAACAGTGGAACTTTGTAACTAAACAGGAAATTATGTCTGTTTATAGAAGAGTGTGTGTGTGTGTGTGATTATGGCAAAACCTCGAGGGCTATCTGCCTAAGGGGAGGAATGCCTTCGTGGAGGACTTTCTAAGGGAAACTGTCTCGTATACACGTTACACATGGGGAAAACCACGAAAACGCCCATGCAGCCAGCCCGTTCGCGGGATTCGAACCTCGGACCGAACTACCAGTGTTCAGCGACTTTACCGCTCGGCCGCTGGTGGGCCTTGTTTATAGAAGAGAGAATTAAAGAGAAAATATTAGCACAAAAAACGAAGCAACTTAAAAAACAACTTACATTGAAAGAAATGTTTAATAAAGTAAACAAATAAATATTAAGCTTTTTTTTTTTTGTAAATTTTGATAGCTTTTAGATCATAATTGCTCTTTATTTCATAAATTAAGGTTTCATATTTTTAATTGTATAATTTCTGCATGCCATCTTACTAGATTTAAATTGCTGATCTGTAATCCAGAAAACCCCGTAATCCGGAATCGAAGTCCCGATGAGTCCGGATTACGGACTTTGTACTGTATTATTTAAAATTTTAAGTTTCATAGCTAAGTTATAAATGATACATTTATTTATTAGTTTATTTTAATATGGAATGATCTGAAATTAAGGCCTGGCATCAAGCTTTTTGTTACTCAACTGCAGTTTCTCCCATTTCTAAATTTTACTTAACAAAATTTTAGAAATTTTGATGCCTGATGTATCAGTTCTAGGGGTGGCCTGGTTGAGCTTAAATGTAATGCTAATCCTTAATTTTAGCTTAAAATGTTACTTGTTTTTCTTTGTCTGAAGTATTTTGGTTATGAAATTGGATTATTCTTGTGTTTCCTGCTGATAAAGAAAATAAGATATTCAATACAAACAATATTTGATATATTTTTTAGGAAATTATATATTAAATTAAATCTCTTGTTACTTATTTTTGCTATTCTAGTTTTAAAATTTAAAGTAATTTGGGAGTATATGAGAATACATAATTGTGATTTTTATAAACTAGAGAAAATTAGATATTTTTGAATCTTGAATTGTTGAATATGAAAATTACAAAAGTGAAATAAAATCTAAATTCCAGTTCACTAAATTCAGATACAGTTAGAACTTTACTAATGTTTTTGGATTTCCTATTCCACTAAAATGAAAACAAATTATTTCAATTATTTTAAAAATTACAATGTTCCGTGCTTTTGTATTATAAGTAGTATTTATATTTTTTTATCCTTGCATCGAGGGACTTGCTTATTTTATTTTGTGTGTTGTTTCTCTATAACTCACCAGCTCGAGCAGCTTTCTCTTGCCTAAACATGAAATCCTGCTTAGATTTTTACCAAGTTAGGTGCATTTCAAAACAATAGCCACTGCTTTGAAATGTGCCTAAATGTGGTATAAATCCTGTTTGGATGCAAATTTCTTTTTAATGGTATGTGACATTTATTTGGAATATGACACTGGAGTTCGATATGTCCCATCTTCACACAGTACATGTGTTTACCTCTTTCAAAACAATTGTATGATTCGTCATAGACATCAGTATGTCTATTCCTATTATTCAGTAAAAAGCATTCACTATAACTGTGAATTTTCAAGTAGTTTTGTGTTTTTACATAAGATTTTGTAAATTTATTAACAGTGATTTAAAGCAGTGTTAAGGAGAAGGGTCAAGCAACAAAGAAACTGGTTAGGAGCACCATGAAGGTGTAAAAAGAGATTATTGAAAAGTATGAAGATGACATGCATATTCAGAACTTGGCTATTGCATACTGTATATCATGTATGATGTGAAAAACAAGGATCCTATTAAATCAGCTAATCTTGTGTAGGGAAGGGAAATTGATTACAAAACAAAGATCAGAGACATTAGAGCATGTTCAAAAATTGTTTTTGATCTGGATAGCAGAAAAATATTTATGTACATTATCATGTGCAGTACTTCATTTAAGTACAGTATATATTTCATTCACTGCATTTATATTTTAGTAGTATATGTTCAACATTCATAGTGATACAGAATCTGTATGATAAATGCAGTACTTGCTTGAAGTAAAAATTATAGAGGTGGCTGTATATAGAATTAAAACACAATCAATTAAATAATAATTTCTAAATCCTTTTTTAATTACCTTTTTTAAGTGATTAAGAAATGATATAGAAAGTGCAAAATTTAGATCTATCTCTGGTATTAAAATCTATTGAAATAGTATCTGCAAATATATTTTTTAATTTTAGATTTATCATTACTGCTTTGTCAAAGAACCATATTTCTGAGATTTGTTGATCGGTGGACAAGCAGTGAAGTCCCTGTGTTCGAATTATGAATTATGGGAGTTTTTGTGATTTCTCCACATGTAACATTTATTTGAGCCAGTTTGCCTTAAAAAGTCCTCCATGAAGGCATCCCACCATGCAGGCAGATAACCCTCTAGTTGCTTTACCTTAACTGAAACCTGTTTTTGAGATTTTTCATCTTTCTTTGTTCAGTGTTGTGTAACATATTTTTCATTTGTGTCATTTTAAAACTTATTTATTTGTTTTATTGTAGTTTTTGCATCAACAATAAAAACAGACAAAATGACTACAGAGAAAGGTATTGTTACCATTCTTCATTTCAATGATGTATATAATGTTGAAGAGCAAATGCAAGAACCGGTTGCTGGAGCTACAAGGTTTTGCACAGCTTTAAAGAGTTTCAGCCATTTAGATCCTCTTGTGCTTTTTAGTGGTGATATTCTTGCCCCTTCTATAAGTAAGTTTTTATTTTAATGTATCAATTATATATATATATTTTAAGAAAATTTTTTTAATCAATGTATTTTATAATATGTAACGTGAGACTTATAAAAGCAAAAAATCTCAGACCAAAAAATATGAAAACATGAACTACACAAGTACAGTACACTGAATCTGGCCTCATCGGGATTTTGGTGATTCCAAATTTTGAAATTTTCCAGATATTAGATTATCAGTTTTAATCTAGTAAGATGGTATGTAGAAATTAAAAATATGAAATCTTGATTTATGAAATAATGAAGCATTTATAATCAAAATTTACCCCCCCAATAACATTTATTTGTTTACTTTATTAAAGATTTCTTTCAGTGGAAGTTGTTTAAGTTGCTTCAATTTTTATGCTAATACTTTCTCTTTAATTCTATAGACAGACATAATTTCTTGTTCAGTTAGAAAGTTCCATTTTGTTCAAGTCCTGTAATTGCTATGTCGAGAATTCTAACTAGGTTATCAAAGAAATTTTTTCAATTTCAATAACCTCTCTGTCACTTTCTTTACTATCATTAGTGGTATAATGAATTTAAAACATGTTAATTGATTGATGATTGGGGCATTGCCATCACAAGAAAAACTTCTGTTATATCATCTTCATTTATTACCGCTTCACATTTCCTTACAAAATCCATTAAATGGAAAATTTCACCTTTGCTTTGTGATATCCGAAAAGCTTAACATTCATGGCTATCATCTTCATCATCCTCACTATGAAATATGGTAGCTCGCCATAAATTATGCTTAGCATGCTTAGCATTTTGCATGGATTCACCTGTAAGATGAATTTTTGTGCAATCTTTTTTTAGGGAAAGATTTAATTTGACTGTGTTTTCTACAGTTTACTCAATGTCTGTAGAATGTGCTGCAAACATGAATGAAATAAAAGGTGCTTAAAAGTGCTTTCCTTGGGGGGGGGGGTGGAAATGAATTTTGCATTCTTAGTCAAGAGACTGCATGGTCTTGCATTCACTTTAAAAATAAAAACTCTCAGAGACAAACACATTCTTATGATTTTAGTACACAAAGTTAGGAAAAAGAAAATAACCAAGATGAAAAAAAAATTTTTAATATTCTCTAGTAAATGAAGAATGTTTGAAGTCATGATTAATTTATCTAAGAGCCAATATATCTTTCACTTACAGGGTGGTGGTACAATCTTTTTCAGGGAAAAGATAAATTCCTTTATTTTAACTGACAATGTTTCTACAATTTACTCAATAGAATGTGTTCAATACTTTCTCTATAGAACGTGTTGCAAACTTTGAATGTCGAGGCAAGTTCATGTTCCCATTATTAACCAATTTTGTAAGTGTGAATGTTTGGGAAATTTTTAAAATATTTTAAGAAACAATCTTTTCCCATTCTTATAGAAATATGGAAAAGAAATGGGAACTGATGTTTGTGAAAGAAAGTGCGTGTATATAATTTTAGTTTGTAAGTAGGAGTATAAATTAACGTTAATTCTGTGGGATACTTTTTTAAACATATATGATAAGTCATTAAAATAAGCAATTTATAAGTTGAAGGTTTGTAAAAATATGGGTTCATTGCACAGTGGTACCTTGGTATACGTTCATTTTGAAATACGTACAACTTGGCAGACATCCTATTTGGATGTGAAAAGTTTTGTTCAGTATACAATATTTATTTGGAATACATTTTGAGTTTAATGAGTCACAAACACATGCACTACTCTTGTTTATCTCTTTCAGGACTGCCCATGAGTGTGAAAATGTCTTGGTTATTATTCAGAAAACAACCACCCACAGTGTAACCTTGAATTTTCACATGATTTTTAGTCCAAACAGGCTTTGTCCCTGATGGACTATTGTTTTTGTTTTGCGATTTTGCACGGATTCACTACAAACAGCGAAACACTTTTCAAACTATTGCCACAAGTATTATCGTCCTGTGTTATATTTAAAGAAATTAAATAATGAAAAATCTGCACAAATTTATGTATATTTCTCGCATTGTGATAAAACAATGGTACATAGAGCCATCGAATTTTTAATGATGAATATGGGCATGCGGAAGACCAAATTTGAAATTTGGAGTCTGCTTTATTATTGATTTCCTGTTTTGTAAAACTTTAAAGAATTTTTGATTAACAAACTCTAGGATTTCAAGGCTAGCAATGGCAACGTTATACATAAAAAACATTTTTATCTCCATCGCATGAATCTCTATATCGGAAATTCTAAAGATATGCTCATTTTAAAACTGTTGCGATATTGCTGTTGAACTGAATTTTATGATTTAAATGCAAAGAACGTGATATTAAATAAATAAATGTAATGCGAAAAATGTTAAATAAACACCCTTTTAGATGTAATTTAAAATCTGAAACATTTCAGATTTTCTTTTAATGCTTTTTTTTTTTTTTTTTTTCCTTATATAAATTCATTAACAGTGAATTTAAAGTCATCTGTATAATGAAGTAATCTTATTTAAATTTGCAATTTTATTTTTCAGTGAGTACTTTTACAAAAGGTGAACAAATGATACCAGTGCTCAATGCTTGTGGCGTCCATTGTGCATGTTATGGGAATCATGACTTCGGTAAAATATGTTGATTCTTTTTGCATTGTATTAAATGTATATTCTTAAAATTGTTAAAATATTTGAATCTGTTAAAAAAACATGTTTGATTTGCGTAACTTTTTTGTACAGACATTTTAATTAATCTTTAAAGGATGCTGTTACTAGGGAATTTTGGAAATCATCTTTGAACTTTATGGCATGCATGTTAATCTAATTGCCATAAAAGACATTTATGGAGACAGTATGTTATAGTGAGTATTATAGAAGCAATACTGGACCTTCCTGTAGTTAGCTGCCATTTTATATTTCCTTCACGATTGTTGATTTTTCCGCTAAATCCTATGTGGTATATCTGACTTCGAATCTAAAATTTTCTGAAGAACACAAAAACCTTGTCTAAAACTTAAAGGTTTATTCAACTGCAACTTCAAAAATGATGTAAACTTAACATCATAAACGAAAACTTAACATCTTAGGTGGAAAACATTCAACCTTTCCAGGCAATGCTTTAAACTGTAACAGCTTATTGCCGGCACGGGGAAGAACACTTTCTTTTAAAAGACAAAATCCATCTAGCCCTTTCGGCATATATCTCCATTCGCTGAATTCAGACTTCCGCTCCTACGTGTTTTGGACTTAAATGGCCGGACTGGAACTGGAACAGGACTGGATCCGGAACAAGACGGGAACTGGAACAGGACTGGAACCGGAACAAGACGGGAACCGGAATCTATCATCCCCTGGATTCTTTCCCGGGCAGGTCCACTCTGGCTCGAACTAAAATGAACTGTGGTGCCACTAAGGAAAGCACCTCCTTTTATTGACGGCGACTGCCGTTACTACAGGCGATTATGCAAATATTTAACACGATATTAAAGTGACTTAATATTTTTAAGCAATGCAAGAAAATAAATGAAATGACATAGTTTAAATAATACTACTTTGTAAAACAAATATACTAATGTTGTTTTGTTTTAGTTCTGCACTGTGAGATGATTAATTTAAACATCTTGGTGACAGAGTGTGTCTAATTAGATACATATGTATGTGAGTGTATAGATATATATAGTAAAAGCTTGGCTATCTAAAAAGCTTGGGAAATGCTGAATGCCAGATAAGTGAAAATTCTAGAAAATTGAGCATATAAAAAATGCAATTAATTATAGAAAAGCCGAATCAGTGTAAGAAAAAATTTCCGATCTAAAATAAATAAAAAGAGTCATCTTATTTGTCATCAACTTGAATATCAAATTATGAGAGATATTAATTATGAGGTATTAAAATTATGAGAGATCCCCCTTCTCCTCCCCAAAAAGAAAAAGAAAAACATTTCAGATATAAAAGCTAATATATTTCAGTCAACGTTCATTCTGGCAGAAGTTGTGGTCAAGTAAATCACCTTTTGCTAGTCATTTGAGCAGACATTTAAAGAAACTGATCTTTCTTTATTAATTAACCAATACAAGTTATAGATATAGCATATAAAAAACCTAAATTGCTTATATTTTTTCACCTTGTATCATTATTGGTTATCTGCTTTCAAATAAAATCTCATATCGGGCCCATTAATGCATTTTTCTTGATGTCATAGCTTTGAAAATACTCTACTTCATGCTGTTCTATAGGAATTAGGTCCCAAATTTAAATCACTTTTTCAAACTTTGAGAGAAAACAGATAAATAGCAATAAACTTAAATATTTCTTCACAAAAATTGACCAATTGAGAATTAAATGAGTTAGCATAAAACGAAGGTGAGGATTTTATAATTGTTTTGACGTCGCACTTATCCATCGTTGGTGCTAAATCATGTTGTCCTAATGGGAGGGTGGGAGTGGGAATTTGTGGAGGAATTTTTATGAGAAACTGGCTTGTATTCACATTATGCATGGAGAAAACTATGAAAAACCAAACATGCAGCTATCCCATTTGCTTGATTTCAAATGCAGGGTGAACTACCAGTATTCAGCAGTCTTTAGCTGCTCGATCTGGAGTTTTACAGTAGTCAGGTGCTTTACATTGATTTTACAAGCCTTGTTTGATTATTTTTCCAGAAAGGCTCTTCTAAAGTTTTTAAATAGTTTGGTTACTTAAGCTTTCCAGTTATTTGAATACCAAATAGTTGGGCTTTTACTGTAATTTAGTTCTGCATTGTGAGATGACTAATCTAAATAGCTTGCTGACTGAGCATGTTTAATTAGATAAATGTGTGTGTAAGTTATAATAACAGTGCATCTCTTTTTTTTTTAGATTTTGGTGTTGACAACCTTATAGAATTTGCTCGTAGAACAGCATTTCCATGGCTGATAAGCAATGTGATAGATAACTGTACATCTGCTCCATTAGCAGATGGAAAAATTTCTTCAATACTTTATAGAAATGGAATAAAAGTAAGTATGTTGTGTTAAAATATTAGTTTCACTTTAATTTTTATTTATATCAGCAAATGTATTTCAAATTTAAAAATACATATTTAAAAACCATAAATAAGGTAACTTTTTTTATTGCTGTCATTTCATGGACAATGTCCTGGTAAAATAGGAAGTATCACCACTTTAAACATTTGTTACAAGGATTGCATGCAAGCAGTTTTATTTAACTGCATTTATGCAGTTAAATAAATGTACAGATATGTCTTGAATAATTAGTCTCTTCTTAAATAAATAAATGCAAGTCTCCATATAGAAATAATTTATGATGAAATAATATCATGCCAAATTTTTTCTTACCATCTAGCTTTAAACCATTTGGAAGAGTTAATTTTTAATTAAGATTGTATATTCTATATCTTTAAATTTTGGAGGACTAATTTCTTATGTTAATAGGCTTAACATAAGTAAGCATAACATTTAGCTTAACCTTTCAGTACCCGTGCTATGCACAAAGTTTACGACAAATTCGTTTTTTAATGCACATTTCTCGCATATCGCAGCTGAGACATTTGAATGTAATTTCTATTTCTCCTTTCAACCCTACCCCACATCATGGAATGTGCCAACAGCAAGTCTTTTTTTTTTTTTTTTTTTTTTTTTTTTTTTGGGTTGGGCTTTTGCACTACATGGTAGCTTCTTCGTAAAAGTTATGACACATGAGTGATCGTGGGTGAAAATTCGGAAAGTATTTTTTCCTCAAATATTTTGTAATTTTGTGTTATTAATTGACGTGTATTATTTTAATTTGCATAAATTCAACTCCATAATTTTTATATCGGTTTTCACGGCTAAAAAATATGTGCAACCAGCTAATTTTGCTCCCATTCTTCAAGAATTATCTGATGAAGAAAAAAAGACAAGGAAACCTTTGAATGTGAGAATAATAGCGATATGAGTAAAGAAAATATCGACATAAGTAATATCATCAGTAAATCCAAACAATATATTTCAGATGAAGATAGTAATAATCATATAGAAAAATGGGGGATGATAATATATTCTATGTTAGTAAGGATAAATCTTCTAAGTGGCAAAATCAGAAGTAAGCAAACTGCTCAAAGATGAATATTGTGAGCATTACCTGGCCTAAAACACCACTCTAATGATGAAATTTTGGAATGTACAAATAAATATATAAGTGTACTAAAAGGCAAAATGCTCAAGAGATAGAGACTGCACTGTTACCTGAGTGGAAATGATGGCCTACTTTGAATTGTTATACATTATAGGAATAAAAAAAGGACACGATGTAAAAGCAAAAAAATTGCTCTCAAGTGATGGCACTGGAATTGAAATAACAAGAGTTGTGATGAGGTACAAGATATTTTTATTTGTCACAAGTTGTCTTCGATTCGATGATAAATCAACAGGACAGGACAGATGAATATTAAAACTAGCTTGGATTTTATAATATAGTTATTAAATAATAAATTTTACAATTTCTATAATAAAATACGTCATTGCTTTTCCACCTGACTAATATAAGCATTTAAAAATAATTTACTGTAATTTGAATGTGACATCATTTGTATTTTGCAATAATAATGTTAATATTTTATGTTTTAACAAATTTATTATCAATATTCACTCATTTCTGTCATTTTTTGTGCAAAAACAGTAAAATAACAGATGTCATAAAAAGTACGATGCACGCATGCTGGAAGGTTAAAATAAACACCTTAAAATTGTTTCAAATCTACATACCGAGATCATATTGCAGTTTTTTTAATTGTATAATTTTTCTTTTTTAATTTTCAGAATATCTTTCCAAAACAAAAATCTGAATTGAAAGAAAAGTGAAGTAGTTCTTACTGGTGAAAATTTAACATAATTTTTAAAATTATTAATGTTTAAAAAGAATATTATTAGAAATTTTAGAACTGGAATACTTTTACTTTTTTTCAGTGTTCATCTAATTGTATAGTTTTGATTTATGCACTAAACTTTGCAGCTGAAAATACATTTGTCACTACTTTTTTAATAAATAATATATAAATCAGATATTTTTTAAGATGATATTAATAGTTACATTTGTTATACAGTCAAAAGTCGTTAATTTGGACACCCATAATTCGGAATGTTCTATAATCCGGACCTCAAAACTAAAAACTTTCTGCGCATGCGCCGCGTTGACACATGCGCATAGGTGTTTACGCGTGCGCGTAAGACCTTTTACGACTGCGCATATGAGTGTGCGCAAGTGCAGAATACGTTTTCGCGTGCGCGTTTTATGTATAATGGACGTATAAGCTAAAATTATTTAATTATCTATTTCAGTTAATGTTGATGATTGCGTTGTTCCTTAATTTTCGAATTGGATCCGGCTTATTATTTTTTGCAGACTGTAATGCAATTTTATAAAAGTAAGCTTAAACTTTCGATTATATCAAATAGAATTTCCCATATATATTTGTTAATATGTAAAGGATCTAAAGCGAAAGTATGTTTTGAAATCCGAAATCTGTTTATCAATTTCACGCTGCTCGGCGGGGGAATGCCGCCCGGCGTAATGAATTGGAAGTTGATCTGTCAACACTATCCTTATCTTCAGGGCAGATGTTTTTATTTTATTTGGCTTATATTTCCTTACCAAATTAGTATTTCATCTCGATGTGCTCCGTCTTTGATATGATTTAAAACAAATTCCTCGTCATTATAATTCGCTTCCGATAGCGAAGAAAGTGACAGAGGTTAGTGAAAACGAAAAAATTTCGATTGACAAATTAGTCGGTGTTCTCGACACAGCAATTATACGACTTGAACAGCGTAACTTTGTAACTAAACAAGAAATTATGTCTGTTTAATAGAATTAAAGAGAAAGTATTATCACATGAAACGAAGCAACTTAAACAACTTACATTGAAAGAAATGTTTAATAAAGTAAACAAATAAATATTAAGCTTTTTCTTTTTGCAAATTTTGATACCCTTTAGATCATAATTGTTCTTTATTTCATAAATTACGGTTTCATATTTTTAATTTTAGAATTTCTGCATGCCATCTTACGAGATTTAAAATGATGATCTATAATCCGGAAAAATCGATAATCCAGAATCGCCGAAGTCCCGACGAGTCCGGATTAACGACTTTTGACTGTAGTTAGTTTCTGAATTAAGTGTCATTATGTAAATTTAGTGTTATATATATGTGATTATAAAGACTCTAATGTAAACAAATAATTATGCAATAAATTTTTAATTTCACATATACTCTCAAAAAATTTATAAAAAGTGTAGTATTTTCCATGATTTTTTAGCTACTCTTTAAAATTAATGTGCTTCTTTTGGATGCATATGTTGTAGTTTGGTATCATTGGATTGGTTGAAGAAGAATGGTTAGCTACTTTAGCCACTATTGATCCTGAAGATGTAACATACATTGATTTTGTGACTGAAGGCAGAAAACTTGCGAGGCAGCTAAAAGATAAGGTGGATACTGTTTAGTCATTTATTTTAATTTTAATTCTAATTTTTTAACTAGAAAAAAATTTTTCCACTAAAGAGAATGACATTTGTTGCCTTTATTTTCATATATTATTATTAATTTTTTTTTTAAAATTTCGTATGCTAATGAATTGTTATATATTAAACTTTAAGTAAGAGTAAAGTTTATAAGATAAGTATGTTATGTCTAACTTAGTATTCTGTAATTTTCATAAAATTTGGTTAAATTGTATGCATTTTGAAATGATGGAAGTGAATTGCCATATTTTCTGGGATGCAAATTGACTCCAGTTTTTAAACTAAATAATAAGGAATTTTAATTATATTTGGTAAGTGATTTGCCTAAGGGGGTGAGTGATTTGCCTCTGTATGTTGTTAATTAGTGATCCAAGCTTATGATTTTAGAAAAAAAATTGTCTGCTAATATTATAAGTATACTTTTCAGCATTTTTTAATAAATAAAATTATTTGGTTAGAAAAGATGATGATTATTTGAAGGCCAGAAGTGAAAATGAAGGTTTCAGCTGTTCAAGAATTGAACAGGATTCATTCAATGGTGCAGTTGCAGAAATAAAAATGAAATGTATGCCCCTCCCCCCCTTTTTTTTTCAAAATGAAAGCATTTGACATTTAGATCCTTTCCTTCTCTTCCTTTGCCTCCCTATCTGCAATGATAACACTCAGAAGATCCTTTGCTACCTGCTCCTCATAGCTTTCACTAGCAAGATTTTTTTCCCCCAAGTCCAAAATTCTAAATGTAGGTAACACTTCAACACCAACCTCTTCTGCAAAAGCGATTATATCAGCCTTTCTATATTTGGTCAAAAATGGCATTATGGGTCTTTATGTTCACCGTAATTAAAATAACAGAAAATTAAACTGAATCTCCTTACATAAAGTTATATATCAAGTTAATTCCTTAACTTCTCTATTGAATTATAAACACATGGTAATTGCATCAAATGTTTATAACATCCAAATATTCAATAAAATAAAAAATATGTATGTGTGCATATATAAGCATTTGAGAATTAATGCAATCATATCTCATAAATAAATCTGAAGCATTAATTAAATTAATGACCATTTACTCATATAATAAAAGATAAATGCACTTGCAAGGTACAATTTCATAAGATATTCATACTGAAAATTCCTTTGTCATAAAATACCCTTACATTAACAGCAAATTTTTCATAAAAAATCATAAATAATACATTTAAACAACTTAAACACTGAAGCGCTGATTGCTATGCAGACCACTTGAAGCATACACTTGTCACCACGCCTTTTGAAGCACACACTTGTCGATTTCCACCCGGATGTTTTCGAAGCATTTTATGTATTTCATTTTTCGTTGACTTCCACACTTTGAAGCACATTGCTTTATCCAAACACCACTTTCTTAACACTGTAACTAGAGGCATTCCGGAACACCAAACTGAACCTTCATAGGCTTACACATATAAGTTGCATGTGCTTCTGCCAAGCATTTGCAGATTGTTTTTCCGAGTCGACAAATATTCATCCCATCGCTGCCACCACTGTCATGATCCTCGACTAATTCAACTTTTCGGTTCATTTCCATCCACTTTATGAATGTTATTTGTCAACTCACGGAAAATAAAATGCAACACTCGTGCATGTTAAGCAATAACAAAATGAGCTATATTTTTATTCTTGAAGTACAAAATGTCTCTTCACAAAGTATTTTGTTTAAAATTACATCGAGTGCACAACTTATACATTTTATCTTCCAGTTATATATATATATATATATAAAAAAACCCAAAAAGCCAAAGTTTTTTCACACGAGCGTGCATCCTTCTTGCATCAATCATGCTTCTTTTTCTCCGTTGCCAGATTTTCCCTCTCTACTTTCAGATAGAGGCCGTTGGCTTAACCATTCTTCTGGCAGGGCTGTGTTGGTAGCTTCCTCTTACTGAGCATGACAATGCCTTTCTGGGTTTGCTATGGTATTATAAAATAACATTAAATTTTATATGAAATTAAACATGGCCTAAATATCATTTGTTATAGCAGGTTTTAGCTGCATATTAAAAAAAATTATATGAAATTAAACATGGCCTAAATATCATTTGTTATAGCAGGTTTTAGCTGCATATTAAAAAAAGAATATACAATAAATTTGAACTTCTTATTCATGTGATATCAAAATTAGAATCTAAAAGAATAAATTTTTTTCATAATCATATTAACTCATGTAATAATTTGTTTTAGGAAGGAGTGGATTGTGTTATTGCTTTAACACACATGAGAAGTCCAAACGATTGTCGCTTAGCTGAAAATGTAGATGAAATAGATCTAATTCTTGGTGGCCATGATCATGTCTATGAAGTGAAAAAGGTATTTTTGTTAAGTATTTTTAAAGATTACTTATTTTTTTATTCTAAATTGTGTACTAATTTCAAGATTCCATGGATAAGTTGAGTGTTATAATGGTAGACCATATATATATCAGGGAGTTTAAGTATTTTAGTCAAAATCTGGAAAAGTCAGTGAATTTCATATAACGATCCCGCCAAAAAAAGCGAGTTTTGCGCCGATGTCAGAAGAGATAACATTTTTGGCGAATTGTGTATCATGTGAATGTCATTCAGGCAGCTGGCATAGAGCCAATTTTCGCAGCTCCAATTTGATTTGTCTTTTAGAAAGGCAAAGCAAGCTTCCCGCAACTTTTGGTTTCCAGTAACCTCGAGAATCGAGAGAATCACATGTGCAGTGTATGAAGTAAAGAAAGTACCTGTTTTTGTATAAAACAAGATAGGTTTAAGCCTAGTATACGGTACCATGGAGGTTAGAATCAAAGAATATGTATTGTAAAGAAGGAAAACCTCTCTGCAACAGACGTGGCTCCATTCCAACATAAAGGGAAACAGCTGTGCACGATATATCTGTCGCCAAAGCTCGAAACCGGTGTCGAAGTTTGAAGGTCACGTTATCAAGAGCTCATAAAAATGAATATCGTTTAAAATTTCTTTAACCACTTGCGCTAAAAAGACCTGCCATGCACGTTGAGATGCTTTTGTTTCAAACCATGAGCGACGTGAACACCACGTTGATAGGCATTTATTGCAAAACTGAAAATAACGTGGTGCACATGTCGCCTAACAACGAGATTGTTTATTTCTTGAGTTACAGCTCTGGATTGCACTCGCAGACGCGGATCGGCATAAATGAGACACTTTACCGCTTGTTATATTGTAGCGCACGGCACCGCAACCGTGAAGTTTAGTCATAGCGCAAGTGGTTAAACTGTAAAGGAAAAGAAAATATTTTTTGGTGCAAGTGAATTAATTCATGGATTAGTTATTTTGAGTGAGAAAAAAAATTACGAAAATCCGTTTTTAAAATTATTGCGAAAAATCCAAGACGAAACGTTCTTTGATAAAACGTTTCTTCTTGGATTTTTCGCAATAATTTAAAAACGGATTTTCGTAGTTTTCTCTTTTTGTCAAAGAACGTTTCTTCTTAACATGTGTTTCTCAATTTCCTGTACACATCGCGGACACAAAAATTCTGGCTGCCAGGTTCCGTCGCCAAATCCCTTGGCAAATTTTCCCTTCGCATTCTAGCAGCGTAATAGCATTTTACGTGTATGGAACCTTTTCTTCTTTACATAGATGTTCTTTGGTTAGAATAATCTCCATGTATGGTGCAACAGGATTTGGTGACATGATGATGAGCAGTCAACGGGTCATTTTGGTCTTGGCGACAATTTTCAAAATCATGCCAAGGCCTTACCGTATACTAGAATTTTGCTGCAAAATCTTTTTAAACTCTTTTTTTTTTTTTTTTTCCTTTTAAAAAATACCTTGTCATTTTGCAGTAAAATAAAAAAAAAAGTAATCGGTCATCTAGGCTAACCATGTATATATTCGCTAAAATATCGTTGATTATTCTAATTCAATTTTTAAGTAATTATCTTTATTTTTATGTTATTTCGTATAATTTAATGTTGCTTCTTCCCTCTAAATTTATTTATTATTCGTAAATAATATTTCCAAATTTCAGGAAATTTTCTCTGGTATAATCATGAAATTAATTCTAGCAGTATGATGACATACCATCACGAAATTTAATGCACATATTTTTTCCTTATGTATTCCGGGAAATAAATATAAAATACCTCAATTTATTAAAAAAAAATCATTAAATAGATTTCTTTCTTTCATTTAGCTGCAGAATGTCTGCAAAAAAAGCCTTATTTTATTCCAGATTGGGGAGATTCTAATCTCAATCTTCAGTGGAGAAAACAACTCCTATTATAATTGTATTTGTGTTTTCAAGTGTTAAGGTGCCTTTTAAGAAGACACCTCACAAAAATTAAATTTACCTAAAATCTAACCTAACTATTTAGCATTGTGTTGTGATTTATAAGGACCGGATTAGCCTCATGTTGAACTGGTGATGATCATGAGTAATAATTAAATAAAACATACATTTGTTACCCAATGTATATATCTTAAATTTTATTAAATTTCTTAAGTGGAAAAGTAAACAAAGTTATCAAACAAAGTATACCAAGAATAATTAAGAATAAATGCCCTCTGGGATTTATTGAATAATTAAGTGAATTTGCTACACAATACAAGTAATACCATAATTAATTTACCTCTTACCACAGCCAACGCACATTACGCGGATAGACTGGAATTTTCTTGAAACACACCTGGAAAAGTCAGGGAATTTCATTCTCCTGTTTGAGTGGCAACCCTGTTGAAAGTGATGAATCCTTTGAAATACATAATATAATTAATTAGCATATCTTTATATGTGCTTTTTAATGTGGTATGTTTATCGTTTAAGCATTCTCATCGGAAATAATATACACCTCATATTTTTTCTTCCTGGTTTTCAAGCAGTAAAATTAGTAGATAAAGAGGAGAGAATATGCAAATAAATACAGTGTGTTGTATGTTATATTGCTTTATTCAGCACCTGAGCTTCTGTGGTAGTGCCAATGAAGGTAAAGTAGCAGACACATTATAATCAAAACATTCTTGGAATTCATTATAATTTTTTAAATTGCTATTCTGTTGCACCTAAATGCTAAACTCTTTGAGTATTCTTATTGCCTTTTAATTAATAAAAGATTTTTTTAAAACAATTTTAACTATTGAATTCAGAGAATAATTTAAAACACACAGCTTATAATCTGGTGCTTTATTATTTTAATCTGTTGCTCATGTTTTCCCATGGACTTTGGTCATTAATAAATTGGAAGGATATGTACCATTTGTTAGTAGAGTTAAAAATTTATGGATAATTCTAGTGACATTGCCTGACAGCATTTAGACAGCTTTAGTGAACAGGACTGAGATTCGAAATGTTTGATGAACTATCCATGCATAAATTTTCAAATTGATCAAATCAAATGGTGTTTGAATAACAAGCATTTAGACAAACTTTAATTTTTATATATTATTAGGATTAAAATATATAATCATAGTCATTATTCGTTTCTTGCAAATTGGCACATAATGCTGTCTGTCGTGTCCTTCTTCAATTATAATCATATACTGTTTCCTTCTTTTTTACTAATGTCATTTGGTTTTGTTTCTGTAATTGTCCCCCTTCCCCGAAGTCAGTTTTATGGGCTTGGACACATTTTGCAAAGTTTATAGTATGCTTTTTTAGTGTTATTCTTCAGTTTCTCAATCTGTTTCCTAAATTCTTTATCTGTGAGGCATAAATTTTGAATTTTTATTGTACTTATTCCATTTACTCATTATGTTAATACAGGTAATACGATTATTTGTTATGTTCATATTTACTCAATACCTTTCAACTACTAGCCATTAAATAATTAGTAATAATACTACACACATATGTACTATAACTGTTATTTCTATAACTCTATGTACTGTATTTAATTGTATATTCCCACCCTTTTTATTAATTTTATCATATGAAAATCGAGAGGATATAATTATGTGAGTAATTAAAGGATACATGTATAGTAAGAACAAATATTTAAGGATAAACGATCAGTAACTGTCTCAATATTATTTATTTAAACACAGCTTACATTCCAATAAAAATATATCATAATATTAGCATTATCTAATAACATATATAATCATTTCTACTTCCATGTATCCTGAATCGCTTCTGCTCTTGTTCACTGCTACTTCTTAGGCCTCAAATCATTTAATGCTGCTGGAACTGCTGTCTGTTTTGTTCTGGTGCAGATTGCCAGTTATTACGATCATCACTCTTGACATCAGCTTTATCACTATTCAGTCTAATTTGCCATGAGCAATGATTTTTAAAATTATCAAGAGCATTAAATATCCTCATTTTCTTGAAGCTGCTCACTATTATTGCTTCATCAGTCAAGATAAGATCAGAAGATAATACATGCACTTAAAATCCACAGGCAAATTGATTAATAAGATAAAAAAAACTCATTGTGTGGATAAATTCATTTTAAAATTTAGGGTAGCTCTCTTTTAAAATGCTTTAATAAATGAAAATTTAAATGAATAAATACTTAAACAATTTTCAGAATCTTCTGCTAAAATTGCTAAGAGGAAAATTACATGAGGGGGAGAATGCTTTAGTAACTATGGTATATATGTATCTAATGATTTTAAAATGCACCGATGAAAACAGTAAACTTTTAACAGCTTAGATACTACGTAGATGACTGAGAATACCGTAGTGGGTTGAAGGTTGCGGAGTGGAAAGCATGATGATGCAATTTAGCACAACGTATCTTGAAAAATCAGAATCTTTATTTTTTTAGGCATATCAAATCATCCTTTTTTAGACAAGATGTTTCCTAATTATATTTGAATGCAATAAGTTGCATTTTGAAGAAGGACGTCATTTTAAGCAAGTAAGCGGCAGCAGCATACATTAAAAGCATCTTGCCAACAGGAGAGCTTATGTGAAAAAGGCAGAGTATCATAGAACTTCAGAGGAAGAAGGGTGGGTGTCAGAAAATTTTTGAGCTCAGAATATTGGTTTACAATTAATTTGATTGTACAAGAGGCATTTGCATTAAAATGTTACATAAGATAGAAAAATCTCAAACCACTGAGAAGAGATGAATTTAGGGGCAGATCACCAATTTTAGAATCTTAATTTTGAGGTCACCAATTATTTTTTCAAACAGCTATTATATTTTGTTACCTCTTACATATCCCCCCCTCCCTTCAAAAGTAGGCTGGGTGAGCAGGGTGGAAGAAAAAGCATTAAAGCAGCAAAATGTGAAAGATATAATTTTAAAAATACAAAACATATTAAATTTTAAACAAAAAATTATTGTCATAAAATTTTGACCAATATTTTGACTCAGTTTGACATTTCATTGAAAATCATAAAATTTTGAATTATTA